TGAAAAGGATTTGAGAGAAGTTAAATTCCTGTCAGAGCGGCAAACCCACTTCTCCAGTGGCAACCAATGTGGACAGAGTATTATGTATCCTTTGAGAAATTTTCCAAGGATGTGTATGCATATGTGTGTCTATTTATAATATACACAGATAAGTACTGTTAATCTATTAAAAGCAAAAAAGGCAGATAATAATAACTCATATGTCTACATGTTTTTTTAATAATTATTTTATTTTACTTTATTTATTTAATTATTTTTCATTTTACCAGAGAGGTAGAGAGAGAAAGAGAGAGAGAGAGAAAGAAAGTGAGAAAGCAAACCACCAGGTTCGGGGCTTGAACCAGTCAGTCATGTGGGAGTCCAGTGCCCTGAACCACCACACTACCTGCCAACCCTAAATTGTTGTTGTTTTTTTTTAATAGTTTACCAAAGTGCCTTCACATTTGGTCCTTTAATTAACTTGAGAGGAAAATAGGATGATTTAACAGCAATCCTATAAGACAGGAAATTGTCAATGAGCTCTGTGTCCTTATAGATATTTTTGTTCCTAATAATCTTTTAAATCTTAGAATGATTTTATATCTATGTTTTCCTTAGTAAGCCCACTTTTGCACTTAACATATAATGTAGCTTATAAGAGTGATGTACACATTTTATGAAAACATCTACTTTGTAACCAAAACTTAAATTATCTATGAATAAATATTAATGCCTCATGCATCATCCTCAATTTACAGTTCAAGATGATGGGGATGATGACAATGATGATAAAGACAACTCTCACATGTAGAGGATGGACGGTTTACAGCTAAGAACACTGCTCTGGAAGCAATCCCTTCTTATCCATTCTCCTTTAGGGATTTTGGGTACACATGCACACATGCCCAGTGTGCTTTTCCAGTTGCCGGATCTAGGACTCAAACTGTGCAGTCAGCAATTTCATTGTCACTCAAAGACCACCAGGCACAGACTGTGGACCATCAGAACCGGAGACAATATCTGGACTCCTTAGATTACCCTTAAATTAGTTCTTAAACTCGTGCCTGGAACCTTTTGAGAATATCAGCGCTTTATTGCCACCTTCTGGCCAAATTGTGTTTTGTGTTGTTTATGTCATCCAGTCTACGTGAAAAGGATTTGAGAGAAGTTAAATTCCTGTCAGAGCGGCAAACCCACTTCTCCAGTGGCAACCAATGTGGACAGAGTATTATGTATCCTTTGAGAAATTTTCCAAGGATGTGTATGCATATGTGTGTCTATTTATAATATACACAGATAAGTACTGTTAATCTATTAAAAGCAAAAAAGGCAGATAATAATAACTCATATGTCTACATGTTTTTTTAATAATTATTTTATTTTACTTTATTTATTTAATTATTTTTCATTTTACCAGAGAGGTAGAGAGAGAAAGAGAGAGAGAGAGAAAGAAAGTGAGAAAGCAAACCACCAGGTTCGGGGCTTGAACCAGTCAGTCATGTGGGAGTCCAGTGCCCTGAACCACCACACTACCTGCCAACCCTAAATTGTTGTTGTTTTTTTTTAATAGTTTACCAAAGTGCCTTCACATTTGGTCCTTTAATTAACTTGAGAGGAAAATAGGATGATTTAACAGCAATCCTATAAGACAGGAAATTGTCAATGAGCTCTGTGTCCTTATAGATATTTTTGTTCCTAATAATCTTTTAAATCTTAGAATGATTTTATATCTATGTTTTCCTTAGTAAGCCCACTTTTGCACTTAACATATAATGTAGCTTATAAGAGTGATGTACACATTTTATGAAAACATCTACTTTGTAACCAAAACTTAAATTATCTATGAATAAATATTAATGCCTCATGCATCATCCTCAATTTACAGTTCAAGATGATGGGGATGATGACAATGATGATAAAGACAACTCTCACATGTAGAGGATGGACGGTTTACAGCTAAGAACACTGCTCTGGAAGCAATCCCTTCTTATCCATTCTCCTTTAGGGATTTTGGGTACACATGCACACATGCCCAGTGTGCTTTTCCAGTTGCCGGATCTAGGACTCAAACTGTGCAGTCAGTCATGTGGGATCTAGCTGCCTTAACCAGTAGGCCACCTGACTGGCCCTGAATTAGAACTTTTTTAAAGGTCCTTCACCAAAGAGCTTGAGAAGAACTTCTCTAGCATAAGTCATTGATTTTGCATCTTGAAGATCTAAAATTGGTCCTGTGGAGACAGATGGTCCTCTGAGGGTCTATTCTCATTATTGGAGAAAGTGGCTGGAGGGAAGGGAGGAAAGTGTGAGCAGGTTTGCAGTATGGTAATTTTTTTTTACTCATTAAACAATCATAAAATGAAGACACAAAATGTTTTCAGTTTGGGGTGGAGAAGGAGGACTTATCGAACTTCTTTTGGCTTCCTTTACAATCACTCCTACCTTATTTGTCCAAGATAGGGAGCTATCCATCAATTCAACTTTTCTTTCCCTCTATAATGAACTAGAGTATAAAATTTCATGCACAATAAAATACAGATTGCTTAGAAACTAACCTAAGAAAGAACATCCAAGACCTTTTCAGAAATGTATACTATACTAAAGTTGGGACCAGCAGTTGGTGTAATGGCTATGTCGCTGGACTCCCACGTAGTCAACTGCTATTTGAGGCCTGGACCTGGTGGCTTAAACTCATGCTGGGTGCGTGTGCATGCGTGCCCAGGATCCTGAGAGGACAATGGAGGAGAAGGGACTGTGGTGTGGCCATTTCCCCTGGGGGGGGGGGATTTCTCACTTTCTGTCTTTCTCTGTCTTTCCGGCGAGTGCACACGCTCTACATCAAAAACCTCTCCCCCCCCAATTTTTTTTTTTAATTTATCATTATTGTTTTTTAAGTTTGCCATTGGGCATATGTGCTCACCAGAGAGAGGGAGAGAAGGAAAGTGAGAAAGTGAACCACCAGGTCCAGGACCTGAACTACGGCCAGCCATGTGGGAGTCCAGTGTTCCTGTTTATGGAATTTCTTTTCTGAAAGGTCAAAAAAGTAGTAAATATAGCTTCTATGGAAAATATTTCACTAAGCTCATTGATAGTCACGATAGTCCTTTGATAGTCACGATAGTCCTTTGACGGCTTGAGGATCACTGCCAGCTATAGGGTCACATCCCTAAGTTTTCACATAGGGTGCCCTGTAGAAAGGCTCTGAAAGCCTGAGGAAGAATGTATGCAGGGCCTAGAGAGAGCAGGATACGGCCAAAAAGCCCACTGTTTGTGACTGAGCTAGTGGGCAGTGCAGAGGCAAAAAGACACAAGAGAGTGGTGCTTAAAAACATAGAGTGTATTATCATTCAGATACCTACACATTAGAACATAATTGCCATGGAAAAGATAGCTTACTACCCACAGAGCCCAAGACGAGGAGGTGTACCACCACACAGGGCCATGTGGGGAAGCACCAGGGTTAAATGCTATAAGCCTCTATTGTGGTTTATGGGAAGAAATGGCAAGGGAAGGTAAGCAGGATTAGGACTGGCTAGTTTGAATAATTTCTGCAGTCTCGGGTGTATGGGGTTTCTGCCTATTTGTCTGGTACCTAACCCTGGAGTGATTAGGGCAGGGGAATATTGACTTGGCCTGTAACAGACTGATAAACCCTGGAGTGATTAGGGTGGGGGACTTTTGGCTTGGAGTGTTAACAACTTAATAAAGGCAATAGAAGTGTGCACATGAAAGGCATGAGCCAGGTTGTTTGCTATCTTTAGAAATTAGCTAACCCTTGGAGGGGTGGTCCCTCCCTGGTCAGGGAAGTCCCAGATGCCAGAGCACCAAGAACACAGGAAACATAGTTAATACAAGCGGCCACTAATCTAGGACACCAAACAGGAGTCTTATGTCTTGGAAACATTTATTTATACCTGCTCGGTGACAGGCGCTGCTGGGCCCCTAGAAAAAATCAGCATGACATGGTTGCTGACCTCTGCGAATCTCAAGCCCATAACTCTAATTCTAACTGATCTTGGCTAACGAAAGAAGTGTGTTCTGAAGAAGCACCCCCTCAGTTTAAAGACAGACGAACCAATGCCAGGTTCACATGAACAAAACAAAACACACCCACCCAACCACAGCATCTTTCTGTCCTGTTCTATAGTACATGGTCCTTTATCTTCCCACCAGGGATGCCCATCTTTGCGACTCAGATCTAACAAACTCGCCTTCTTTTTCATGATGGGGGTTGGAGGTGTCTCAAGTCATGGAATCAGTAGAACCACTCTAATCAGATGATCAGAATACTACCCTTTACTCCCGGCTTTCCATTAAGTTATCTAGTGTCCCCATTTATAAAATAAAGAGCTAGAAACTGAACTCTGCGGGCGGCTACATTGCTGGACTCCCATGTAGCCGACCGCCTGTCGAGTCCAGGACCTGTGGCTTAAACTCACGCAGGGCGTGTGCGTGTGTGCCCAAGACCTCGAGAGAATGGAGAAGGGATTGCGGCGTAGCCATGCCCCCTGGAAGTGACTTCTCCCTGTCAGTCTCTCTGTCTTTCTGGCGAGCGCACGTGCCCTATAGGAAAAACCTCTCCAAGAAAAAGAAACTGAACTCTACGCAAAAAGTTTCATAAAAGCCAGAAAGCACAAACGCTGGAGAAGCTGCGCCTGGCCAGGCACTTCCCCACCAGCTCGCAACAACGAGGCGCCTCGCCCCAACACGCAGGAAGTGCGCATGCCCGCGCTCAAGCCTTCTAGCTTCCCGTCGCTTCCCTTTCCGTCTGGCCCCGCCCGGTGCTGGCGCCATCGTTTCCGGTTCGGCCCGGAACGGCCTGAGCGCTGCTGGCGACTCTTCCTCTGGCCCGCCTACTTCTCTAACGCTGCTGACTTCTCGGTAGCTGGCGGAGGTAGTTGCCAATAGTTTCCCGGTTTTGGCCGCTCCTCTTGGGGAAGGGCCTTCCTCCGTCCCCTTGCTCGTTGCCCGCAGCCCCGTTCGGCTACAGGCAACGAGTGTCAGGGCGTCATGGCCAGGGGCTGGGGTGTGAGGCCGCCTTTCGCTGCCCGCACGCTCCGGTGGCCCCTGGGCCCACCGGCACCCGTCTCGGTCTGAGCGTAGCCCCTGCGCGCCCGCGGGCCGCCTGTAGCCAGGCCTCATGGCCTCCGAGGCGCGGTCCCCGCCGCCCTCGCCGCCTTCCTTGTCCCCGTCGCCGCCCACCTCCTCCGAGCCTGAGCTGGCCCAGCTGAGGCGGAAGGTGGAGAAGTTGGAACGTGAGCTGCGGAGCTGCAAGCGGCAGGTGCGGGAGATCGAGAAGCTGCTGCATCACACGGAGCGGCTGTACCAGAGCGCGGAGAGCAACAACCAGGAGCTCCGCACGCAGGTGCGCGGTTCGCCTCCAGCCTCGCGCCCCATCCACCCAGAGGCGAGGCTTTCCAAGCCTGAGAGCCTTGGAAGGGTCCAGTGGCAGGAGCCCCGAGCCATTTCATAGAATCCCTGAAACAAAGAAAGTGCGGTAGTAATTCCAAACATTAGGAGCAAATCCAAGACTTCAGGTTACTTGAGGTATAACAGAGAAGCCTTAAGACTGGCCTGAGTTGAACTTGAGATCTCCAGCCTCCTTATTTTCGTTTTTCACTTGTCCCGAGGTACCGTTAGCACTAGGTGTACTTGTAATAGTTTATTCTAGATCACATTTGTTAAAGTGCTTAACCTGAATCAGAATCGCATCTCCACCACTCAGCAGATGTGCAAACTTACACTCACTGAGCCTCAGTCGCCCTTAAAATGAGAATGATGGCGCATAGATGTGAAAGTTAAATGAAGTTAAGCATGAGCAAACTTTCACAGTTTTACAAATTATTATATTAATGACGTACATGTGTGAGGTTATTCTGGGCGTTACCTTGTGGAATTAGGGAAGGTATACCCGTCTTTGCTGGAGAGGATAAGCAGCTTATTTCATTTCCATGGTATCAGTAAATGGTAAGGACAAATACATAAACTGTCCCGGTTTTTAAAAAAGCATAACTTTTTTTTCTAGCTTGCTCCTGGGGCACTAGCACTCCTTACAAGTTATTCCCACATAGTTATTAAGTTCAGTTTAACCGTTGTCTAATTATTCATAATTTATTGTTCATTACCTAAAACTGCATTTTAGTCTACACACTAAAATGTCATCAAGTTTTGTTATGGTTTGCTACCTCATAAGGTATGAAAAGAACTGAGTTGCAGTGACTTTTTATGCCCAGCCTATACAGCTGTCCATATACAGAAAGTATTTGTTTACTCAACAGCTAGTTGTTCCTACAGTGTTTAAGAACTGCATTAGGTGAATACAAATGTAAAAACGTTGTGGGGGAAGGAGGAGAGCAAAATATGACACACTTTTTGAAAAAGCCCATTTCTGATTCTAAATTGCTAAAGTGCTGCTTGAGTTAAGAGATCCTGAAGGAAGACCTTTTCTGCTAATCATTTGAAGAGCCAGCATCTTGGTAATAGTGTTAATTTGATAGTGCTCTAACATGAGTTGAAATGCATGGGAAGTCTTGACACCATTGGTGATAGTATTGTAATAAACTCCCCCTTTACTCTTTGGTAACTATTTCCTGGGGTGTTAGGGCTGGATTTTGGTTTACCGTCATTCCAAATTACTGAATATGTTCGATCTAGCGATAAAAACTTGGCTTGAGAATGAAGGCTGAACTAATAAAAAACAGTAATATATACAGGTTTTGGAATTAAAAAAGAAAAACAGCAAATTACTTTCATCTTAAAATTTCTTCAGACACTTTCTATGTAAAATTGGGCCAGGACAACTAATTTATAAGGTGGTTGTGTGATGTGCGGTGTTGTCTAACAGCACAGGTATAGCACCCAATGTGTGGTACATAATCTAGTTCATAGTACTAGTGGTAATAGCTAGATCCAGGACTAGGACTAGGTCCAGATTCTAAGGGCAGGAAATGCTTTAATGCATTTTACATAGTTTAATGCGTGTTTGTTTTGAAATAGTCTTTTGACTATGGGACCAGCAATTAGCGTAATGGCTATGTCGCTGGACTCCCATGTAGTCAACCGTGGTTCGAGTCCCGGACCCAGCGGCTTAAACTCGCGCTGGCGCATGTGTGTGCGTGCCCAAGATCCCTAGAGGAGAATGGGGGAGAAGGGATTGCAGCGTGGCCATCCCCCCCTGAGGGGTGATTTCTCACTTTCTGTCTCTCTCTGTCTTTCTGGCGAGCGCACGCACCCTATAGCAAAAACCTCTCCAATAAAAAAAAAAAAAAAGCATAGAAGAGGCATTAATATATTTGAGTAGTTTCATGTAAAGGACTCCGTGATATTAGATATTTCAATATGAATGGGGATTTGTTGTTCTAAATTTATTTTTTAGGGAAAACTATTGACCTTTTAAAATATTAGCATAAAAACATTCCTGTTTATTAGAAGTAAAGGATCTTGTTCATAAATCCTCACTAATTTAGCCAGTCTTATTTTTGGAGTGGATATTTGGACATTTTGCAAGAGAATTTAAGAATAAAACATCTCTTTGAAAATAGAAGGTGAAAGGTGAAAGATAAGTAAATTACAGTATTTTTAGTTTCTTTAAAAAAGCTTCCCTAAAACTTTTATTTCATGAAGAAAAATACTTACTTACAATATCGGAGAATGGTGTGTATATTATTAGATGACTATTTGGTTTGTTTTTTTCTAAAGCCTTATTTTCTTTCAGGTAGAAGAACTCAGTAAAATACTCCATTGTGGAAGAAATGAAGAAAGTAAAAAGGCTGATGTAGAAGTACAAACAGAGAACCATGCTGCCTGGTCACCATCAGGTATTCAGCTTACAGTGAGGATGTCCTAGTACTGTTACATTCACATCATGCTAATACAGAGTTTCCTTTAAATTTAAGATAGACAAAGATAATTATTTTAATGTAAACTCTTCTCCATACAATTTAGTATTATTAGATCCTCAGTGTACTTTTCTGATAGGAATGTATCATCATTCCTATAATTTTTTTTCTCTTTCTTTTCCTCTTTTTTTTTTTTTTTTTTAAATTTGCAGTAGGGTGCTTACACTCACTGGAAAGAGACAGAGGGAAAGTGAGAAAGCACCCCCCCCCCAAGGGGAATGGCTATACCACAATCCCTTTTTCTCCACTCTCCTCTCGAGATTTTGGGCATACATGTACACACTTGGCATGTTTTTCATGCTGCTGTGTCCAGGACTCAAACCATTTAGTTGGCCATGTGGGATCCTACTACCTTAACCACTGCACCACTGGCTGGTCTATCCCTATAATTTCTCTGCTGCTGGTAATACGTTTTTTGTGACATATTTACTGAGTAATTTTTGCCATGCAGTAGCCATCTCCTTTCATACCTGGCCATTTTTGTGACCTGGGGCACATGTTTTCTTGTTTCTATGTCCCACTTAGTGAGTCCACCACCATGGCCTCATTAGTGGCATTGCATAAGGCAAAATAAATGGGCTACCTTGTTTAATGTGTATGAATTATAATCCTTTCTTTCTTTTTTTTTTTTTTGAGAGGTTTTTGCTATAGGGTGTGTGCACTTGCCAGAAAGACAGAGAGACACATAGAGACAGAAAGTGAGAAATTGCTCCCCAGGGGGGATGGCCACGCTGCAATCTCTTCTCCTCCATTCTCCTCTCGGGATCTTGGACACACATGCACACATGCCCGGCATTAGTTTAAGCCACTGGGTCCAGGACTCGAACCACGGTTGACTACATGGGAGTCCAGCGACATAGCCATTACGCTAACTGCTGGTCCCGAATCATAATCCTAAGAAGTCATCTTTCCCATTAAGTTGCCTTGGTTCATTCGAGATGTAATTAAGTTAAACTGTTAAATGCAGCAATAGTACTAACCTCATATAGCTATAGAATATTTTATTTTTAAAAAAGTAAGCATAATGAGAGAAATTTGACAGAAAACTAAATCACGTATGCCTTATCTTTATTTTGTTGTCAATTGATAATCATCCGTATTAGGTATGTGGTTAGTATTTAAGAGTTATCAATAGGCCAACTCTGGCCCGGTGGTTAAGGCAGGCAGATCCCACGTGGCTAACCCCACAGTTTGGGATACAGACCTGGTGGCTTGAGAAACACACTGGGCACATTTATGCCCAAAATTCCAAAAGGAAATGGAGAAGAAGGGATTGCTGTGTGACCATTCTCATGGAGGTGGTTTCTCTTCTCTCTCTCTCTCTGTTTCTTTGTCTCTGTGGTGAGTGTATGTACCTTCTAGCAAAAATAAAGAGTTGTTAAGAGGTTGGCACTTGGCCTGGTGGTTCAGGTGGCTGGATCCCATGTGGCTGACTGCAGTGTTCAAGTACTGCACCTGGTGCCTTGAAAAAACACGTTGGGGATGTGTGCATGCATGCTCAAAATCCTGAGAGGAGGGAGAAATGGAGGAGAGGGGGTTGTGGCATGACTGTGTCCTATGTTCCACTTGCACCCCACCCTCTTCCAGTTGCACCCCGCAACTACACACAGTTTTCGGCAAATTAAAAAAAATTATTAATTTTTTTGGATAGCACACAACCTATTTAATCTATTTTCTTTTTCACTCTTGCTGTGGAAAATCCAAATCTACTTACCTTTTATTTTTCTTTTCAGCTTGACAACTCGGGTACTGAAGGAGACATTACAAATGTACATACTTCTGCAGATTTATTTGTGCCATCAGTTTTAATGTTTCCAAATGTGTACTGTTGTAAAAATCAATATTTATTTGCAGTGTATGCTGTTTTGTGTTCAGTGCTGCTGTTTTGAAATTATGCTGTTCTAATACACCACTTAATTTGTTTTTGTTGCAGATTATTTTTATCAGACATACCATAATGATGTTAGTCTTCCAAATAAAGAAACTGAATTTTCAGTTCAGCAAAGTCAGGATATTGAAATTCCTAATGCTAAAGACGAGTCACACATAGAAAGTGATGCTTATGCTGGTACTGATCTGACAGAAGATACTAAATGTGGGGAGGAATACCATTTTGCCTCAGATTCACAGGTAATCAGATTTAAGCATGAAACTGTTGATGCCCACAAACTTGTCCTTCTTTGTTATTATGTCGAAAAATAGACTTCTTTGGTCCATCACAACAGATAAAAAGGTGATAAACATATAATTATTCGAGGGCTATTACAGTTTTTGGGAAAAAAATTAGCTTGTTTGTATGTGTAATTATTTTCCTGCTACATTGTGTTCCAAAATAATATGTATATAAACTAAAGAAAATTTTGTCAGTATATTTTTGACTCATTCAAAGGAGTTTGAATAGCAGCCGTATCATTTACACACCTAAAAAAAAAACTTTTAGTCCTTCCTTGATGTGAAATATCCTGTCACTGTTTAGATCCCTGAATGTCTTACAAGTTTGTTTTTACAGTTTGTTTTAATCAGGATCCCCACTGTATATGATGGATCTCATTTGATCACTAGCTTTCTCTTCCATCTTTTTAAATTTTTTCCCCATTGAATTTAATTATCGAAGATCTAGATCATTCATCTTATAGAATATGTCAGGGTCTATATTCTGTGGATTTCTCCCCTATCATATCATACATTTATTTTTGAATAATTGTCATTCACTTTTAATATCTTCAAAACTGAATTAAAATGAAATTAACTGACACACTAGTAAATATTACAAAAAGTGGTTCATATCGTAATTGATAGCCATCTCTGTCCATTGTGGAAATTGAAGTCATTGTTTAAATGTAGTTGTAACTGTACATATTGTTTGAATTTTGCGAAGTTTTAAATTGATCTGCAGAAGTTTCTGTGTTACTTAACGTAACTCTTCACCATAGGAGCCAGCATCTGCATTAGCAACAGAAGATACATCCATAGAAGGTTCATCATTAGCTGAAAGTCTGAGAGCTGCAGCGGAGGCTGCTGTTTCACAAACTGGATTTAGTTATGATGAAAATACTGGACTGTATTTTGACCACAGCACTGGTTTCTATTACGATTCTGTAAGTATCTCAGACCTTTTAATGCCGTATGACTGTGCACTTAGCTTCCTGATTCCAAGTATTACACCCTAAGCTAGAGTAAGAAAAGCAAAAAGCTGCATTTAAAAATTCTGTTTGATTTAAAACTTGATAGGAGGATTATAAAATAATTTATGATGCTACATTTCTAGGTTTTTAATTAAATAGGTTAAATTAGCTTTTTAAATTATTATTTAACTTTATTTATTATTATTATTATTATTTAGTTTACTATGGTACACATGCATTCACCAGAGAGAGGCAGAGAGAGAGAGAGAGAGTGAGAAGGAAATTGAGAAAGCAAGCCACTGGGTTGGAATGCAAACCATGGTCGGCCATGTGAGAGTTTAGTGCCTTAACCACCATGCCCCCTGCTGGCCCCAAAAAAGTTAAATTGTTCATTGTGGTTATTACAAATTAATGTTTTAGAGAGATCTAATAACCTTTTATATATAAAGTAACATATTAAAATGTGAAAGCTTTTATTATTAAGATAACTACATTGTTATAAAATGTTTAAGAACCTAAACCAGTATATTTGATAGAATTTATAAGGAAATGAGTTTGTTAGTTTGTGTCTTGAGGTGAGATTTTAAAAAAACTGTTTAAAATACTTATCTTTATGAATCCGTTTTAGGTCACCAAGAGAAACTTTTACTTGAATTTTCTGTAATGTGTTTATTACTCAGTGTTTTATATCCTGTGACTTTTAAACATTTCACTTTTTAAAAAAATTCAGTCTTGGGCCAGCCAGTGGTGTGATGGTTAAGGTGCTGGGTCCCACATGACTGACCATGTGATCTGAATCCCAGACCTGGTGGCTTGAAGAACATGCCAAGTGCATGTGTGTGCATACTTAAAATCCCAAGAGGTTAGACTTGGCCAGCAGGTAGCATAGAGATTAAGCTGGCTAGATCCCCATGATTGACTGCGGTTTGAGTGCTGGACCTGGTGGCTTGGAAAACATGCCAGATGTATTTGTGTGCATGCCAAATCTCAAGAGGAAAATGGAGTAGAAGGGATTGTGGTATGGTCATCCCCTCTGAGGGGTGATTTCTCACTTTCTATCTCTTTCTCTTTGGAGAGCATACTTACCTTATAACAAAACTATAAATGAATGAATGAATGAATGTTACAGACATAAAACTACATTATACCAAAAATTTAAGATAAGAACGCTTCCATCCAGTTTCTTAGTTACGGGAATGATGATTAGAATTCTAAATATTTTTTAAGAGATCTGCAGAATCCATGGATTGATGACAATAGATTGTAATAGTATGAACAGTTAGAAAAATGAACTATTCTCTCTCTTTTTTATTTGGCCGTAAGGCCCACACACTCACCTAAGAGAGCAAGAGAGAGGAAAAGTGATTAATCACCTAGCCAGGGGGTTGGCTACACTGCAGTCATTTCTTCTCTGTTCTCCTCTCAGGACCTTAGGCACACATGCACGTGTGTGTGCATGGGTCCATGACTTGAACCTCAGTCGGCTGTGTGGGAGTCGAGTATGTTAACCACTGTGCTACCTGGTGGTGCTAAACTATTCTTTTTTGGGAAGTTTTAGTTGTTCAATCTCAGTACATTATAAAATGTTCCCAGGTCTGGTCTGCATGGATTTATGATATAAATAAGTATAGACTTTTCAGTTAAATCTTGATTATGGCGTACTGGCCAATATCTAATAAATGCAGGTGATTTTTTTATCTTTCTAGTTTTTAATCCATAATTTGCCCAAATTCATTTTTGTCTGGCTGCTTTACTCATGTCTTACGTACGTACTTTACTAAAAAATTAATTAGTAGAGACAGTTGTTTACTGATTCTTTTTCATGTAGAATGTTATGTTGGGGCCAGCAGGTGGTATAGTGGTTAAGGTGCTGGACTCCCACATGGCTGACAAGTGTTTCGAGTCCCAGACCTGGTGGCTTGAAAATCATGCTGGGCACATGTGCATGCATGTCCAAAATCTAGGAGGAGAAAAAAGGAGAAAGGATTGTGGTGTGGCCATCTCCCCTGGGGATGACGTCTCATATTCCCTCCCTCTGTCTCTTTCTGGCATGCACACACACACCCTATGGCAAAAACCTTAAAAAAAAAAAATTGTTGTATTTGTGACCTTAACTTTATTTTCAAGTTTTTCTTCAGTGACCTTAAGTAATGAACATTAAAAGTCAAATCTTTCTATTATGACATTGAGAGGAGAGTTTGGGGGTTTATATTACTTAACCATTATTGTGCAATCATTAAAGATAATGAATCTGGGGTTGCTTTCATGCAGTCAACTTTTTCTGCTGCATGCCTTAGAAAAAGTTTCTTGTTTTCACTTTTTATTCATGTATTAAGTTAAATCATATGAAATTACTGTTCCTTACAAATCAAAAAATAGCCAAATATTGGTTATTTCATCTGGTTCAATTTAATATTTAGATTTATTCATTTTTTTCACACTAGGAAAATTAGAGCAGATAGTGAATGTTATTTTGGAAAATTATAAGCATTTTTTATTGTTTATCTTTAATTCATTGTCATCTGAAAATACTATTGTTAAAAGAAACAAGCATTTACTATATAAAAATGAATCTGGCATCTCTTTTGTTTATTTTTCTACTTTATTTCATCTTGCATGAATAGATCTCTTGTTTTTTTAACTTTGAAAGGAAAATCAACTGTATTATGATCCTTCTACTGGAATTTATTACTACTGTGACGTGGAAAGTGGTCGATATCAATTTCATTCTCGAGTCGATTTGCAGCCTTATCAGACTTCTTGCTCAAAACAAGGTAAAGATAAAAAATTGAAGAAGAAAAGAAAGGATCCAGATTCATCTACAGCAAATGAGGAAAAGGTAATGTCTTCATAATGTTTTAAAATTACATAATGGTGACAACATAATTAAACCAAAAATTTTTATGAAACAAAATTATTTAGTAACTTAGTATTTCATATATCTCCATTAAGATAACAAGGTTTCAGAATTCAACAACCAAAGAGTTCAGATGGAACATACATTATTTTTTCCCACAGATTCTTAGTTACTAAAAATAGAAACCATTTCTTAAAGTTGGAGGACATACGGGTATTTACCCAAAGGACAGGAAAACACTCAGTTGGAAAAACACCTGTGCATCCATGTTTATTGCATTATTCACAATAGCTAAGACATAGAATCAACTTAAATGTCCAACAACTGATGACTGGGTCAGAAAAATGTGGGGCATGGGAACCAGCAGTTAGCGTAATGGCTATGTCACTGGACTCCCATGTAGTTGACCACGGTTCACGTCCCGGACCCAGTGGCTTATAACTCACGCCAGGCACGTGTGCGTGCGTGCCTAAGATCCCAAGAGGAGAATGGAGGAGAAAGGATTGCGGCGTGACCATCCCCCCTGGGGAGTGATTTCTCGCTTTCTGTCTCTCTGTCTCTTTCTCTCTCTCTGGCGAGCGCACGCGCCCTATAGCGAAAACCTCTCCAAAAAAAAAAAAGTGGGACATAACCAATATGGAATACTACTTAGCCATGAAGAACAGTGACGCTTGAGCATTCAGTACAAGTGGACAAATATGGAAGAGTTAATGCTAAGTGAAATAAGTGAGACTGTGAAAGACAAACATGATATATCCCCAGTCAACATATATCAGTCATCTCTATTCTGTGGCAAAATTTGAAAGGTTCAAAGACATACAGTAGAGGACCAGCAGGCTATAGTGCTGGATCCCACATGGCTGACTGTGGTGCCGTTCAAGTCCCAGACCTTGTAGCTTAAATATAACACTGGGTGTGTGTTTGTGCATATATGTCCAAGATCCTGAGAGGAGAATGGAGAAGGGATTGTGGCATGGCCATCTGCCTAGAGGGTGTTTTCTCACTTTCTCTCTTTGGCAAGTGCTAAAAACACACACACACACACACAAACCCACAAAGACATAACGGTAGAGACTACATAGGAAGGGCGGATAGTGAGGAGCAGGATAGGAAGGACTAAAGAAAAGAAGGGTTAACAGACACAAGAATTAAGGTTCTTTGTTGAAAATTATGTTTATGGTAATATCCTTGATTCGATTATCACACTGCATGCATACTTTGAAAAAGCACATTGCATGCCATGAAAATATATAAAAATTTACAGAAGAGATTACAAAATAATTTTTTTTTTAATTTAAAAGAGGTAAGATTAAGGGTAGATAAAATACCTGTATTTGTGATATAATTTGGAAGAAGAACAGTCTTTCAATTAATAAAGTAATGCCAACACACAGTTCACAGTAAAAGAAAAACATAATTTTAATGTAAACATAGATACAGGTTCAGCTTTCTTAGTCATGTTGAGCAATTTCTTGCCTATTAGCAAACATTTAAAAAAATTATTGCAGGGAGACCAGCAGTTAGTGTAATGGCTGTCGCTGAACTCCCATGTAGTTGACCGCGGTTTGAGTCCCAGACCCGGTGACTTAAACTCACGCCAGGTGTGTGTGCGTGCGTGCCCAAGATCCCAAGAGGAGAAGGGATTGTGGTGTGGCCATCCCCCCTGGGGGGTGATTTCTCGCTTTCAGTCTTGCTCTGTCTTTCCAGTGAGCACACACGCCCTATAGCAAAAAAAACCTCCCCCCCCCAAAAAAAAAATTATTGCAGGCAAATACGGAGTATGGTACATATTAGGTTTGTAAATTGGTATCTTTTTGGAAAATAGGCCAACTGTGTATATCAGTAGCTGTAATAGTGTTCATATTCTCTATTTGGAAAAAATCTCATTTCTAGAATTTATTATTTTTAGCTTTTGCTATTGTTTTTTTTTGTTTTTGTTTTTGTTTTGTTTTTTTTTTGAGAGATTTTCACTGTAGGGCGCGTGCGCTCGCCAGACAGACAGAGAGAGACATAGAGACAGAAAGCGAGAAATCACCCCCCAGGGGGGATGGTCACGCCACAATCCCTTCTCCTCCATTCTCCTCTCGGGATCTTGGGCATGCACGCACATGCGCCCGGCGTGAGTTTTAAGCCACCGGGTCCGGGACACGAACCACGGTCGACTACGTGGGAGTCCAGCGACATAGCCATTACGCTAACTGCTGGTTCCCAGCTTTTGCTATTGTTGTGTGTGTACTCTCCAGAAAGAGATGGGGGAATGGGGGGAGTGGTCATGGAGTGAGAAGTCACCTCCCAGGACAGATTGCCATGCTGCAATCCTTTCTCCTTCATCTGAAATCATGCCCCCCCATGCCCCCCACCACCCCGCTGCGTGCCCCCACCGGGGGATGGATAGCCTCGCAGCAATCCCTTCTCCTCTGTCTCCTTTAGGGATTTTGGACATGTGTGCACATGTGCCTGGCATAATTTTCAAGCCACTGGATCTGGGACTCAAATCTAGCAGCAGCCATATGGAATCCAAAGCCTTAAATTCCATGCTACCTGCTGGCCCTCCATTATTTATTTTTTTAAAATTCCAAATGAAAGAAAAATTTCTTTGTGTAGTTTGACAGCACTATTTATAAGACCTGAAAAAAAATTAGAGTTTTAAATGGCACACACAATAGTGCTCAAGAAAATAATGGTACATTTGATTGAAAAAGTATTATATAGGCCTTTATGGTGCTTATAAAAGATGAGGGGACTGGGGTCAGCAGGTGGCGTGGTGGTTAAGGTACTTTATTCTCAGATGGCCAAACATGGTTCCATCTCGGACCCAGAGCCTTGAAAATGATGCCAGGCACGTGTGTATCCATGCCCCAAATCCTGAGAGCAGAATACAGAAAAAGGGATTGCAACATGGTCACGATTTCTGACTTTCCCTTTCTCTGTCTCTCTCTCTCTGTCCAGCGAGCACATGTATCCTATGACAAAACTTAAAAAAAAAAAAAAGATGAGGGGACTTTTTCTAATTTTTAAAAAAGTTTCTTTCTTTTATGAGTAAGAAATAGAGACAGCACTCCCAACAGGGTGTTGACCCCAAAGACCACCCCACCCTTCAGCTAGCGCCAGATCATAGACAAATCTGTGTCTAGTATACTCAGGGAAGACTTCAGACTTGAACCGAGCATCTTCCCATTTGGGATTGCCTCATAGGGCGTCATTTTTACCATTGTGTTACCATCTGGCCTTAGAAGGAGGGCTATTTTAAAAGTGCTTATCATGCAGTATTTAAAGAAACAATATTTTAAGAATTATCGGTGTTCTTATTTCTACTCCCTGAACAGATATTTTAAAAAGAGATTTTTTTCTATGGGATGCATGTAATCACTAGAGAGGCAGAGACAGAAAGTGAGAAATCACCGCCCAGGGGAGATGGCCATGGCCATCTCGTCTCCTTTGCTCTCCTTTTGGGATCTTGGGCATCTGTACACACGTGTGCCCAGTATGAGTTTTAAGTCGCCGGGTCTGGGACTCAGGCTAAGGTGGACTATGTGGGAGTCCAGCGACATAACCATTATACCATCTGCCGGCGCCCAGATTTGTTTTTATTTCTCTCTCTTTCTCTCTCTCTCTCTCTTTTTTCTTTTTAATGACAATACTTAGGAATTGAGAATGTATGGCAAAATACTAAAAGTTATTTTTCTATATACTAGTTGAAATGTTTGAAAGACAAGGTTGTGAAAACACCTTTCCCTGATGATGAGAAAAGAGTGTACAGGGGTCCTCAAATGGCCTTTCCTGACAAATTGGAGGAAGGAGGTGGAAAGTAGTCTGATATTTTGGTCTAGCATAGGTCCCGTAACTACTCATATTTACTCCTTTAAAAATATATGATTCTAGGATAGGAATTTAGGAAAAATTCTGATGGAGTTTTCAGAATTCTGAAAGGTAGTAATAGAACCGTGAGATCCCAGTTAAAGCATCATGATTTTCTTTATTTTTTTAAACTACTCTTGAGCTTAAAATGCCTTGTGTTTTGGAGGTGGAGGTAATATGGAAGAAAGGTGATAGGATAAAAAGATTAGATTAAATAATTTTAAAATATACATAAATATGTGTGTGTGTATCTAATATATCCCACTTGTAAGCCCCATTTCTTTTAATAACTATATTCGACATTCTCTACTGGCAAATAGCTTATAAAAAGTAGCATCTCTGGCATTTCACTTATTTTTCCTTTGTCTATATAGTCTCGTAAGTTATAATAATAATGCAAGATAGAAACTGCTTTTTATTGAGGTATATGTTTCCTCATATTTTTCCAGCTTCTTGCCCTTGTGCTTGTCCTTGATAAGTTTGTATTGCTGGAAGTATACCCAGTTTATCATAGTGTGATTATTTAGCCAGTTTCCAAACTGCAATTTATGCTGCTATTAAAATTACATGTATAAGATGCTCTCATGTTTTATAAAATAACAGATTAATTCAGTTTATCATGTTCTAAGGTGGAAAGAAAATTAAGAATATGTTACAGACCAAAGGAAAGAGGGAAATAACTGCTTCTAAAGTTAAAAAGAATACATTTATCTCTTGTACAACATTATATTAATTAGGAAAGACCCGGAGACTTGAAACTTGCGCTGTGTGCGTATATGCCTGAAACCCGGAGAGCAGAATGGAGGAGAAGGGATTGTGGTGTGGCCATCCCTTCTGGGGGATGATTTCTTGCCTTCTCTCTCTCTGTCTTTCCAGTGAGCGCACACGCCCTATAGCAAAAAATCTAAGAAAAAAAAAGTACATTTTGCGTTCTTATCACAAAAAAATAAGTATATAAGGTAATGCACATGTTAATTAGGTGAATTTAACCATTCCATATGTGTATATATTTGAAAATATCACACTGTATACAATAAAAATACAAGATTTTTATTTATTAATTTAAAAGAATAATAGATTTGTTCATTTGCCATAAGTCACACTAGCTGTACATGTACAACAAATTAATAATAAAAGGTTTGTGCTAGGTAAGTTGAAATTTTGAAACAAAACCAATAGAACTAACTTGTCTATACTTTACACTTTTGTGTATTATCAAGCCAGCTTTAAAATACTAAATTTTACCAAATCCACAATTTTGCTACATTGGGTACATTTGGATCTTTACATTGATGATTTACGTAAAGCCAGTTTGTTTTTTTATGTATATTGACTTGATAACTAGTTAAAAATTCAAAAATTTAGAGTAGATGTATTCTGTGGGTTTCCACTGTTTGATAAGGTAGCTGCTAGCCCCTAGTGGCTCTCAAGCATTTGAAGGGTAGCTAATCTAAACTGAGATATGCTGTTAAGTGTAAAATACAGCCTGGACTTTGAAGAATTACTTCAAAAAATGAATATAAGTGGTCTCAATCACTTTACTTTTTGAAATGTGGCTACTAGAAAATTTACAAGTACAAAATGTAGCTTACATTATATTATCAGCCTGCATTGGTCTAGATGTATCACATGTCCAGGCAGTATGTATTGAGGTCCTGAAGTAGGAATGTTAGGACATTAAGAATAGCTATGAGGGGTGGGAGAGAAGTCAGCAGATGGCATAATGGTTATGTTGCTGGACTCCCATGTAGTTGACTATGGTTCAAATCCTGGATCCAGTTGCTTGAAATTTACACTGGGCACATGTGCATGTGTGCCCAAAATCCCAAGAGGAAAGTGGAAGAGAAGGGATTGTGGCGTGGCCATCCCCTCTGGGGGGTGATCTCTCGCTTTCTGTCTCTATGTCTCTCTCTGTCTTTCTGGCAAGTGCACGTGCCCTACAGTTAAAATCTCTTTAAAAAAAAAAATGAATAGCTATAGGGAGAGAGCTGGGATAAATTTTAACTGTAATCTATAGCATTAGGTAATTGATTCCATGTGAGTGGTTAAGGAGTATCAAATGTATGATTTTTTAATTTGGAAGATAAGAGGATGGTAGTGTCATTAAGCAAGAAAAGGAAATGAGCAGAAGAGAGGGCAAAGATTTTAACTATTGTTTCACTGTATATGTCTTCACTAATTCATTGAAATGATGTAGTGTTATGATGTTTAAGGTTATTCTCTGTTCTTACTTACCTATCCATCCCTTTCTAGGATTTCAATTCTGAAGATCAAAAAGCCTCCAATGTTGAACATACAAGCTGCAATGAGGGAGAAAATTTTGCAAATGTGAAAAAGAAGGCCAAAATAGACACTCGTTACAAAAATAGCCCCCCAAAATCTGTTCCAGTTAGTGGAAAAACTGTAGACTCTCCTCTTCATGAAAACATCTCTAGTTCAACTTCACTTAAAGAGGAGAAAATCATTGAGACTGATAGTGAGCCAGAGGAAGGGGAAATTACAGACTCTCAGACCGAGGACAGTTATGAGGAAGCTATTACCAGTGAAGACAGTGTCACTGGAGAAGATACTGAGGATGATGGTGAGTAAATGATTCATTTTAAATAAATAACCCAATCTGTAAAAGAGCAAAACAGTTAACAATGTAAGTGACTCATGTACTGTATCTTCCAAAGTGTAAACTGATTATTTTAATGACATTAAAAAAAATTATGTGGACTGGGGACCAGCAGGTGGTATAGTGGTTAAGGTGCTGAACTCCCATATGGTCATCTACAGTTCGAGTCCTGAACCTGGAGGCTTGAGATCACACTGGGCACATGTATGTCTGCCCAAAATCTGAGGAGGGTAAAGGAGAAGGTATTGTAGCATGATCATCCCCACAGGGGGTGACTTCTCATTTTCTCTCTCACTATTTCTCTCCGGTGAGAGAAAACACATCCTATGGCAAAAACCTTACCAAATATGTGTGTGTGTGTGTGTGTGTGTGTGTGTGTGTATACACACACACACACACACACACACACACACACAGCACAGGCTGGGCCAGCAGTTGGCTTGGTAGTTAAAGCATTGGATCACAGGTGACCAATTCTGTGGTTCAAGTCCTAGGCCCGGTGGCCTGAAAAACACACCACCTGCTTGTGTGTGCATGCCCCAAATCCTGAGAGGATAGTGGAGGAGAAGAGACTGCAGCGTGGCCATTCCCCCCTGAGGGGGAGGTGATTTCTCACTGTCTCTTACTCCGTCTCCCTTCAGTGAGAGCAGGTGCCCTATGGCAATAAAAGATCAAAAAAAGACAAATTTACATGGGCTTCTGCTTGGTTATTTTTAGAGAGTGATGTGAGTAAATAACTAATACTTGAACCTAAAGAAAGTTCATTGTATTGAGTGACCTAATGAATAGAACACAAGGTCAAGCTTCCTCCATTGTAAGCCTAGTATCTGGGGTCTTAAAAAGGTTTATGAAAAATGTATATTATGAAGAAACTGTGTGAGTTTCAAGGCTTTTTTGCACTAAGTAAACATACTTCAACTTAATTTTTCCATTAACTTTTTGAGGTCCCCTTGTTTATGTTTAGGCTATTTTATTGTGTTACATATATGTACTCTACTTTCATAATTGAGGGAGAGAAAGCAATTGCCTTTAAAAAAAGTGTGGTTTACTAATTCAGTTACGTAGGCATGGTAAAGCTAATACTTTTTTATTTAATATAAAGATACACTTTAAAACACAGAATTTCATGTTGTATGTGAGCTACTTTGTGTTTTTTTGTTCTCAGTGGAATTTCTTTTAAAAAGTAGACTAAATTTTTCTAACCTAAGATAATATACAAATATTTGATGTGTTTTCAAATTCGAAGATCTCAAAAAAGAGGCAGTTGTTTATTTTATAACTGTTAATGATATCGTATATGCCATATACTTTTGTGTTGATCACTTTGAATCAGTAATAGTGTTACTCATTGTGCTTTGTGTATAGCAGAATTTAAGAAGAAGTTTCATCAGAATTCAGATTTTTTTTTTGGGGGGGGGGAGGTTTTTGCTACAGGGCACGTGCGCTCACCAAAAAGACAGAGACAGACAGAAAGCGAGAAATCAACACCCCTCCCCCGGGGGGGGGGGTTGGCCACGCTGCAATCCCTTCTCCTCCATTCTCCTCTTGGGATCTTGGGCACGCACGCATATGCACCCGGCATGAGTTTAAGTCACTGGGTCTGGGACTCGAACCATGGTCGACTACATGAGAGTCTAGTGACATAGCCATTACACTAAATGCTGGTCCCCAGAATTCAGATTTTTGAAAGAGCAATATGTTTTAGTTTATGGATGCTTCCTAGTTACCCCTGAAGATTTTTAGTCAGTATGTTTTAATTTTATATACGTCCCCTAGTTTTCCCTATAAAAATAATTTTTCATAGCATTTGAATTAATTTCTACCCGTTTCTTTCCTTGGCAGATGAAGAAAAAATTTGGCCCCCGTGTATTAGAGTAATTGTTATTAGATCACCAGTGTTGCAGACAGGATCACTTTTTATCATTACAGCAGTAAACCCTGCTACAATTGGAAGGTAAAATTGTTAATATTATATCATTCTTTGAGTTATTTCAGAAAGGCTTTACTGAGCATGCACTGTATATTAAATTGTTCTGTGTGCTGTGGATACAAGGGAATAAGGCAAGATCTCTACCCATAGAAAGCAGTCTGGGGAAGAAAAAAAGATGTAACAAATAATTACTGTGTGAAAGCACAGGGAATCTAAAGTAACAGTCAGGAAACTGGATATAACCACAGATTTACTCTGTTAGAGTTGAATTTTAACATTATCTGTTTTAAAAATTCTGTGTCACCCCGTAATTGCTGCATACACACACACACACACACACACACACACACACACATATTTCAAAAATTGTTAAAGATACTTTACTTAATAACTCCACAGAGAAAAAGACATGGAGCATACTCTTCGAATTCCTGAAGTTGGTGTCAGTAAGGTAAGCTCTTCAGATTTCTCAAATATAGTCCTCTAGATGTAATTTTTAAAATAATCATTACAATAGAAAGCTTAGGTTTTTTTTCTCCCCACTGAATAGAAAGATTAAGATTGATTGTTGTGATAGTAATGAAAACAATGCAGATTTGTTTATTCCAATTGCTTGAGAAAATAAAGATTCTTTATCACAATTCGAATAAATTCAGTTATGTTTACTTTTTAGAGCAGGAGTAGAACATGTGATTAATCTGAATACTAAATATTTAACAAATATTTATCAAGTGAAATAAATGTGTTACATTTTATGTAGCTCAAAAATGAATTAGACCTGTATTCACGCTTTTAGTAGGTGGTTATTTTGAGCCCAGAGTATTTTATAGCTCCAGAATAATCTATCTTCCACCACTGAGGTTCTTGTTTACAACTTTTTCCAGTTGAACCTTTAATGGTTTCAGGAAAAAGAACAGTTGTTTCAAAACATGCAGGATAGATCTGCGAACTTAAGTCATAAGTAGAAAAAAATCCCAAAAAGTTATTAGCTACTGAGGCTCTTTATACTTCCTATCTCTCCTTTTCTTTTTCTTCCTCCTTTCTACTTATGGTTATCTCTTTACTTTTTGACTTCTTTTTTTTTTGATCTTTTATAATTGATTGATTTCTTCTAAGTTTCATGCAGAAATTTATTTTAGCTACTGAGGCTCTTTATACTTCCTATCTCTCCTTTTCTTTTTCTTCCTCCTTTCTACTTATGGTTATCTCTTTACTTTTTGACTTCTTTTTTTTTTTGATCTTTTATTTTATAATTGCTTGATTTCTTCTAAGTTTCATGCAGAAATTTATTTTGACCATGACTTACAAAGTTATGTCCTCGTGGATCAAGGCAGTCAAAATGGCACTATTGTTAATGGAAAACAGATTCTTCAGGTGAGTATATATGTGTTATTAATAACTGCACTTCAAAAAAAATTTTTTTTTAGAGATTTTTGCTATAGGGCACCTATACTTGCCAGAGAGGCAGAGAGACAGAGAGTAGGAAATTAACACCCCCGGGGGATAGCCATGCTGCAATTCCTTCTCCGTTCTTGGAATTTTGGACATGCACACACAGACACATACCTGGTATGGATTTTACACCTCTGTGTCTAAAACTTGAACCATGGTCAACTCCATAGCAGTCCAGCAATGTAACCATTACACAATCTGCTGATCCTGCATATTATTTTTAAAACTCAATTGAAATTTCTTTTCCTGGAGGGCATAGTCATTATTGATACCATTTAGTCCAGATCAGGTTACCTATATTTCCTGTAAAGGAATTCCCAGAAAGGACTGAAAAGAATATATAACCAGTGGATACTTAGCTATTGGGTTTTGACTTCCAATTATATAGCCTTTAAATTTAGATATGAATGCATTGTACAGCTAGTTTAGAGTAAATGGTGTTGTTAGCAATTTTAGGAGTCCTCCTTTTTCTTTTGCCTTAATGGAAATATTGTTAAACTAGAAACTTACTATTTTTTTAAAAAGAATTATTTAATTTTACCTATTAATATGTTTTAATTTGACCAGAAGGAGGCAGGGGCAGAGAAGCACAGAAAGTGAGAAAGCGAGCCACTATGTCAGGGACTTGAACCACTGTCAGCCATGTGGGAGTCCAGCACCTTAACCACTATGCTACTATGCCACCTGTCAGCCCCAACTAGAAACTTCTTGTTTTTTGGAGAGGTTTTCGCTATAGGGAGCATGCACTCGCCAGAAAGACGGAGTAAAGCAAGAAATCACCCCCCAGGGAGGTTGACCATCCTGCAATCCCTTCTCCTCCATTCTCCTCTTGGGATCTTGGGCACGCACGCACATGCGCCTGGCGCAAGTTTAAGCCACTGGGTCCAGGACTTGAACCACTGTTGACTACATGGGAGTTCAGTGACATAGCCATTATGCTAACTGCTGGTCCCCCAACTAGAAACTTCTTAAATGCAGGGCTGTCTATCCAATTAACGCACCTATCTTCAGCACATAGCAAAGTGCTTCGCATATAATGGGAAAATACATAAAAGGAGAAGAGGAAAGGAAGGAGAAAAGCCTTATTCTTAGTCTGTAAAAGTAAAAGCAAATAAAAGTGAATTATCAAGAGAAAAGAAAAGGAAAAACAGGAAATGTTTTTCACGTATCCCCTTCATTTATTCTTTTTGACTATGGTTGTTTTGGTAATAGATTATTTGAAGTTGAGCTGGCTATGTGGGTGAGATTAGATGTGAGATACGGAGGATGGTGGGTTTTGATAAGATAAAAATTGTAAGTTGCTCTTTCAGCTGTCTTCTCCATTTGTAGAATATTTTTAATGGGTCATCTATCAAGGTGTGAACCTGCGTGCATATATATACGTCAGTGTGTCTTTCTCACTGAGAACTCTTTCAAATATTTAAAAGATTATAATCAGACATTAATACTTAAGAGTAGACATAAAATAACCATATATGATTGTTGGGATTTCTGTTTTATAAAATTTTATCTCTCTAGCCAAAAACTAAGTGTGACCCTTACGTACTTGAGCATGGAGACGAAGTCAAAATTGGAGAAACTGTGTTGTCCTTTCACATTCACCCTGGTAGTGATACCTGTGATGGCTGTGAACCAGGGCAGGTTAGAGCTCACCTTCGCCTTGATAAGAAGGATGAAACGTTTGGTATGTGAAATATATTGTTACATGTGGGTATGGGAATGTCGTAATGCACTAAGTGTTCTTAAAACCCATCAGTAACCATCTTCAAATCTGGTTGATCCATAGGGTCATCAGAAAAGCCATGATGTATTTTTCTATGCAAAAATGTGTCATGAGTTTTCTAATGACCCAATAATACCATATTGAAATATATTTATATGAAACTATCAGCCTCTTATCTAATTGTTGTAATAATGAATTAAGATATATTTTTATTTCAGTAAATATTATCAAATGAGACTACGAAATTATATATACTTTGAATTTGAAATGTAGACTATATATGATTGTGATTTATTTTCCTGTGTAATAGTTTTAACTTTTAGATTGCTTCTGACCAGGAAAGAGACTAATAAGCTCTGTTTGGTTTGTATGTTTGTTTGTTTTTGGTTTTTAAAGAGGTTTTTGCCTTAGGGCACATGCGCTTGCCAGGGAGAGAGAGAGAGAGAGAGAAACAAAGACAGTGAGAGGGAAAGTGAGAAATCACCCCTCTGGGGGGTATGGCCATGCCACAATCCCTTCTCCATTCTCCTCTTGGGATCTTGAGCATGCACACACATGCATGCACCTGGAATGATTTTCAAGCCCCAGGTTTAGGACTTGAACCACGATTGATCATGTGGGAGTCCAGTGACATAACCGCTATGCTATCTGCTGGCCCCTGTTTTTTTATAATTAATTTAGTATAGGAGACTTTTGAGGAAGACTGTAGTGGTTTTTCACATGCATGCACCTGGTATGATTTTCAAGCCCCAGGTTTAGGACTTGAACCACGATTGATCATGTGGGAGTCCAATGACATAACCGCTATGCTATCTGCTGGCCCCTGTTTTTTTAGAATTATTAATTTAGTGTAGGAGACTTTTGAGGTAGACTGTAGTGGTTTTCTGATACTGATTTGAAAATGAGTATGTCACATTACACAATAACATAAAATTTGGGTTCTATGAATTTGTCCCCCCTTGTAAGAGAGAGAGAAGGAAGTGGAGAGAGACAGAGAGAGTTATTGATTGCAAGGTTTCACCACATCATGATCCTCCTGTCCCAGCCTCTCATTAGCTAGGGTTACAGGAAGGCACAACTGTGCCCAGCATGTTTGTGTTGTTCCAGGAATTGAACTTGTGCCTCCCGTGTGTTTTCCAAGTGGTAGTTCTATCTATGATTGGGCCTGATTCTGTCGTTTTGATTTTTATTCTGTACCTGTGTTCCTTTGGAAAATTAACTTACTATTTTACATTTGAGATTCTGTTGCAATAATCCTACTGAAAAATTGAGGTGCTCATTGTTCACTTTGGTATCTATATGGTAATCCTATAACCTTTGTTTTTTGGTTTATTTTCAAAATAGATTTAGTTACTAATACACTGAAGGGACATCATTATAATCCAAGATCCTTTTACATGAATGTTTATTTAGATTTTTTTTGTTCTTTGGAGAGATTTTTGCCTTAGGGCACGTGTGCTTGCCAGAGAGACAGAAATCACCCCCTAGAGGTATGGCCACATTGCAGTCCATTCTCCTTTTGGGATTTTGGGCATGCACACACATGCACCTGACATGATTTTTAAGCTACCAGATCTGGGGCTCAAACCACGGTTGACTACGTGGGAGTCCAACAGTGCAACCACTATGCCATCTGCTATTCCCTGTTTATTTAGATTTTTAACTAAGTAACTTAGTAATTTTCTACAAAATCTGTGAGAATTAAAAAATTTTAAAAACTCACTTTTTTTCTTTTAGTTGGTCCAACACTAAGTAAGGAGGAAAAAGAGTTGGAAAGAAGGAAAGAATTAAAGAAAATACGAGTGAAATACGGTTTACAGGTAACTGTATTAAATATTTTATGTATTAAGCTACATATCTTGTTTTGAATAAAAATACCACTAGATATATGATGTACATTTTATTTATAAAAGCTACTTAGTATGATTTTGAGATTTATGTAATTTCTACTAATTGTTTACTGTCTTGGTATTTATAACCTAACAACTATTGAGATTAGAGTAGGAAAAACAACAGTAACCAACATTCAAATAGTCATTTCTAGTTTTCAAAAACTTTGCATTAAAAAGCCATTGAGGGCCAGCCTGTGGCACGGTTGCTAAGGTGACTGGATCCCCCATGGCCAGCTGTGCAGTTTGATTCCTGGATCCAGTAACTTGAGAAGCATGCTGAGCATATGTGTGTGTTCCCAAAGTCCCAAAAGGAGATTGAAGGAGAAGGGATTGCATGTGACCATCCCTCATGGAAGATGATTTTTCACTTTCTTGCTTGCTCTCTTCAGTGAGCACATGTGCCCTCTAGCAAAACTTTTTTTTAAAAATATGCCATTGAAGAACATATTTAGAGGACTAATACTACCTGATTTCGAGCCTTTTCACAAACTATAGGGATTAATTTAGTGTCATAGTGGCATAAAGATAGATAGATGGATGGAACAAAGTAATGAGTTCAGAGATAGACCACATAAATATGTGGACAAAATGTGAGTCAGTTTGATGAACAAAGATAGTCTTTTTTTTTTTGAGAGAGAGATTTTTGCTATAGGGCGCGTACGCTCGCCAGACAGACAGAGACAGAGAGACAGAAAGCGAGAAATCACCCCCCCCAGGGGGGGTGGCCACACCCATTCTCCTCCATTCTCCTCTTGGAATCTTGGGCACGTGCACACACACGCCCAGCGTGAGTTTAAGCCACTGGGTCCAGGACTCAAATTGCAGTCGACTACGTGGGAGTCCAGCAACATAGCCATTACGCTAACTGCTGGTCCCCAAAGATAGTCTTTTTAACTAATGGTACCAAAATAATTGGATGCCATGTGCAAAAAAAGAAAAAAAAAGAATATTGATTCATGCCTTATGTCATATCATATTCAAAAAAGAGCTAAAAATAGATATAGATAATAAATGTAAAACCTAAAACTGTAAAGCTTCTAGAAACTTTTGGGGAAAAAAAAAGTTAGGCAGAGAGTTCCAAGAACAGAAACGCAACCTGTAAGAACAAGTTGGGGGACTGGATAGTGTCACAGCAGTAACACAACCCTGTTTGAAGCTCAGTCACATGGGAAGAGTCCAGGTCTGTGTCTAGAACTCTCCCTGAAAGTTCCAGGCTTCTGTGTGTCTATAATCTGGGGTTGACTGGGGTTGGATCACAGTGTGAAGACTTTTGGGGGAGGTATCTGTCTGTCTGTCTTCTTCTCTTTCTCTGTCTTGCTCCTAGAAAAAAGGAATTTAAAAAACTCTTAAGAAGAAAACAAATTGTTCATCTGTACCTTCAAAATTAAAAACTTCTGCTCTTCCATAGACATTATTAGGAAAATGGAAAGATAAGCCACATACTGGAAAAGTATTTGCAAATCACATATTTGGTATATATGATTTTTAAAAATCACCTTACATTTAGAATACATAAAAAATTCAAAACTCAGTAAGAAGACAACTCACTTTTAAAATGGCAAAAGATTTGGGACCAGCAGTTAGCATAATGGCTATGTCGCTGGACTCCCACATAGTTGACCGTGGTTCACATCACGGACCCGGTGGCTTAAAACTCACGCCGGGCGCGTGTGCGTGCGTGCCCAAGATCCCAAGAGGAGAATGGAGGAGAAGGGATTGCACCATGGCCATCTCCCCTGGAGGGTGATTTCTCGCTTTCTATCTCTCTTTCTCTGTCTGTCTGGTGAGCGCACGCGCCCTATGGCAAAAGCCTCTCAAAAAAAATGGCAAAAGATTTGAATGGATTAATCACCATAGAAGATGTACAGATGGCAAATAAACATAAAAAGATGTTCAATATCCTTAGGGAAGTACAAATCAAAACCACAGTGAGATACCACACATCTACTAGAATGGCTAACATTTTTGAAGTTGGCTATACTAAGTGTTGGAGCCGAGAAACTAGAATTCCCATACTCTGCTAGAGAGTATAGTTAGGTTGAGAAACAGTTTGGTAGTTTTTTTAAAAGATTGATTTATGCCTACCATATGATTCAGTCATTTCACTTCAAGGTAATTTACCCAAGAGAAATGCAAGCATGTGTTCATAAAAAGACTAGTAAGTAAATGTTCATAACTACTTCTTTTCGTACTAGTCAAAAACTGAGAGAAACTGAAATGTCCATCATATATGAACAAACTATGATATATCTCTACGGTATAACACTGTTTAACAGTAAGGCAACAGAAACTATTGCTAGAGGCTACAACTTGGATGAATCTCAAAATAATTATGGCAAGTGAAAGAAGCCAGCCAGAACGAGTGCATACAGTGTGCTTCTCTTGTGAGCAGATAGTCTGTGCATGCTTTCCATCCTACCTGATTCTTGTGAGACCACACACTGACACTCATGAAAATACAGGAAGCAGATTTATTACTTACAGATAGGCAGGAAGCGACAGCAAAGGCCTAGGATTCAATGTGAACCAGTCCCCCAGATCTGAGAAGGCTGCATTCTGAGTAGATGGAGTCTGAACTGTGTGTGCCCCACTTGCATTGCAGATGTGGGGCCCTAGAAAGCAGCCTGCCCTGGGTTATATGTCCTGGGCAGTGGGATTCATTGAACTAAAGTGTTGAAGAATGTCTTGTTTCTAGTTAGGACTAGAACAGAGTCTGGACTGTTTTCAGCCAGACCCTCCTTATTTTAGGATGTTGCATTTCCAGTACACTCTGGTATTTGTGGAGAGCTGCAGGTGGGAAAAGGAAAACTAGGTTGGTCCAAGGCTAATAAGAATTGTCGTGGATTATTCTGGATCATTTGTATAAACTTCTGTAAGAACAGACCTAATATATTGTGACAGAAGGGTCAGTGGTTGCCTGGGTGCAGAGGAGGAGAAAGGAAGAGGCTCAGGAAGGTCTGAAGGTTAGATTACAAAGAGGGACAAGGATTATTTAGTGGGAGATAGATATGTTCATTATGTTGCTTATAGTGATTGTTTTATAAGTGTATAAATCTCAAAAGTATCTCATTATATACTTTCATTATGTGTAATTTATTGTATGTTAATTATACCTCAATAAAGCTGTTTTACTAAAAGTTACCATTTGGGACCAGCAGATGGCATAATGGTTATGTTGCTGGAGTTTCAGCTTGAAACACTAACCAGGCGTGTGTGCGTGCTTGCACAGAATCTCAAGAGGAGAATCGAGAAGGGACTGTGGCATCGCCATCCCCCTGGGGGATGTTTTATCGCTTTCTGTCTCTGTCTCTTTGTCTCTCCAGCAAGTACATGTGCCCCATAGCAAAAATAGTCCCCCTCCCCCCAGAAAGTTACTATTTAATCCAATAAGTAGACTAGGGAGGTAATTAGTATTTTTAGTTTACTTTTGAGAAACTAAAGCTCAGGATGCCCAGCTACTAAATAGCAAAGCTAGCTATAGAATTTGTTTTAAAGTGTATTTTGTGCAGTGCAGTTTATACTTCAAGAAGATGGGAAAAGCAGTTGCTACCCAAATAGCATAGCACAGTTGTACTTTTTGTTGTTAACTATTGTTGTAAGGGAGAGAAATCATAATAGAATAACATGTGAAGATAGGCCAATTTGGGAGGAAAATAGAAGACTTACAAGGACAGAATAAAGTTTACTCAATTTTTACACAATTTCTCTATTGTCTTGGAAAAAAACTAACTAGGTAGGTGGTCTGTGTTTTTTGTTCTCTGTTTAACAGCAAAGTTAGGTTAAAAAAAGAAAAAAAAATCAAAAGAAAAACCTCTGTGGTGCATTCCTTGAGTTGCTTTCCAAGTCTCTAGCATCTCTCTGGGTGAACGTCACAACTTTTTATGTAAAATTGGCAAGTAATAACAAAAGGGGAAAGGAAGGCTTTTCAGAAGCTCAAAGCCGGATTGACTCTCTTCTTCGTGCTGTTGCCTTATGGCGCGTGTACCTTTTTGTCGAGCCAGTCATCCTGTAGCAGGCTGAAGATTGTGTGTATCTCCCCTCTGGGGTCGTGTATTCCCTAGCCTGCAGTGTAACACACTCTACTGTATTCCTTAGCCTGCAGTGTAACACACTCTTCTGTATTCCTTAGCATGCAGTGTAACACACTCTACTGTATTCCTTAGCATGCAGTGTAACACACTCTGCTCAGTGATTATTTGTCAGGTGACTGACTAGGTATATAAATGAAGCTATGTTGAAGCAAAAGGCTATTATCACCACCAGGGTAAAAGGTTATTGGCTTTTTTCTCATTTTTAAAAGACTTTTTAGACCATTCCCTTCCAGGAAACTGTATTTATTTTAGGCCCTTTGGAACTATAAGTTTCTGAGAGAAAGAGGAAAATCAGTTTTTTCCAACCCCAGGATTTTTGTGTTTTTCTTTGAATACTGGTACTTTCAAATGACAGTATGAAAACACAGCATTAAGTCAGAATGTTTTCGCCATGTCATCTGCTTACCATTTACATTTATATATTTAGGCTGTAACACAACTTAATATACAATTATTCAAGAGTATAGACTAAAAATAGCATATCTATTCAATTTGTTTATGCCATAGCATGTATATTTATTGTTTATAGAGGCCACTTTGAGCCATATTTGGTAAGGCAAGTGTACAGAGTTATATTTTTATTTACCAGCTCTTTTTTTATCAATGAACATTTCATGTTTATTAAGAATACAGACTACGAAGATGAGAAGACATTGAAGAATCCAAAATACAAAGATAGAGCTGGAAAACGTAGGGAGCAGATTGGAAGTGAAGGGACTTTCCAAAGAGATGACGCTCCTGCATCTGTTCATTCGTAAGTATGGAGTTGTAATTGTTTGCAACATTCTTTGCTCCACAATTGTATTTGTGGGATAGATGAACTTGCAGGGCTATATGTTCTGATAGGTAGCATTTAAACGAACAGTTTAGGATAATATGGAAATGCTATTTACACTTTCTTCTAATGTTAGAATTTCTTTTTTCCCTAATGGCGAATGTGTACATGAGCATACACATTTAACATTCTAGCCACCTAGTTAATTGAGTATCTATTTATGTACTAGGTATCTAGAAGCCTTGGCTAGTGAGCAGTTGGTATAGACTTGTATTTTTTTCTACTTATTTTAACACTCAAATTCTTGTGTTCTTGTTGATCCCGAAATACAGGGGTTCTGTTTTTTTTTCCTTAAAGTTTTTGTCATGGGGCACATGTGCTCATCAGAGAGAGAGAGAGAGAAAGTGAAAAATCACCCTCCAGGAAGGATGGTCATGCCATAATTCTTCTCCAGTCCCCTCTTAGGATTTTGAGCATACATGCTTGATGCGATCCTCACACTGCCAGGTCTGAGACTTGACTCTCATGGTTAGCCATGTGGGATCCAGCACCTTAAACTTCACACCACCTGCTGGCCCTGAGATACTGGTTTTTTCTTTGATTCATTTCTTTTCTTTTGGTAAAATAAACATGAAAAATATCATTTTTGGTTATAAGATTAACACATTGCAGAATACACATTTCTTAGAAAAAAGTAAAAAATTGTCAGTAACCTCAGAAGCTTACCTTCCTTATGCTATGTCCTAATTATTGTTCTATTCTCCTTCCTAGAGATAACCACTGTCCTGACAGCATTAGATTAATTCCACTTACTTTAAAATTTTAAATAAATGAAACAATTTAAGAGTTGGGTTTATATACTTTTTGTTCCACATTATTTTTAAAATAATTTTTAAGTTATTTATTGTTACTATTATTTTTAAGTTTTTTCTATAGGGCATGTGTTTTCACCGGGGAGGGGGAGAGAGAGAGAGGGAGAGGGAGGGAGAGAGCGCCCTCCAGGAGGGTTGGCCATGCTAAAGGACTAGAACTGTGGTCAGCCATGTGGGAGTCCAGCACTTACTTAAACCACCGTACCACCTGCTAGCCCCCACATTATTTTGTTATTATAGTTTATTTTCATTGTTGTGCAACATTCTATTGTGTGACTATGCCACAATTTATTCAATCATTTTACCACTGATGGACATATGGGTTATTTCCAGGTTGTTGCTATTATTCAATAGATTTGCTGAAAGAACTTTCTAGTATATGTCTTTTTTAATTTTTTAAATTTTTTATTTTTTTAGGCAAACATTTTTATAGACCATAGATTAGTTTATTTTTAACGCCCATCATGCCATGATTTCATAGGGAATAGGTTCCAGTAGCTCAGGCTCCTTTCCATTGCTTCTCTGGGTGGAGCAGACTGGTTGCTTTAGTTGAACCCAGATACCTTTCTCTTTGGCTTCCTTCTTTTTCTATTCATTTTTTTTTCCACACGTTTTAGGAAGTTATCTCTGTTCTTAGAATGTTTAATATGCTCAATACACAAATTAGTTCTCTTGTCAAGAATCTTGCCCTTAACTTGTTTGTTTACAGCAATGCCAACAGCATGCTGGGTAACATTGTAGACTTTTAACATTTGTGGGGCATTCCTTTTTGAACAGTACCCATTCTTTTGATGCCGACAATATCACCTTTCTTGTAGATTCGCATATATGTTGCCAAAGGAACTACTCCATGTTTTCTTTTTTTTGAGAGGTTTTTGTTGTAGGGTGCGTATGCTTGCCAGAAAGACAGATACAGAGAGACAGAGAGAAATCACCCCCCAGGGGGGATGGCCACGCTGCAGTCCCTTCTCCTCCATTCTCCTCTCAGGATCTTGGGCATTCACACACATGCATCCGGCGTTGAGTTTAAGCCACCGGGTCCGGGACTCGAACTGCGGTCGACGACATGGGAGTTCAGCGACGTAGCCCTTACGCTAACTGCTGGTCCCTCTACTCCATGTTTTCTAGAAGGCCTAGAGAACATATTTCGGGTGCTTTTCCTTCCCTTTGTGTTCGTCATTTTGGTTAATTACTGGAAGATGGCGGTTCTGGCCAAAAGAACTGGTATATGTCTTTTGGTGCACATGTACATGCTTTTCTGTTAAGTAATATATAAAGCAGTAGAATTTGTGTGTCTTCAGCTTTATTAGGTAATGCCAAACAGTTTTCTAAAGAAGTTGTACCACTATTTGTAATTCACGAGTTTATTATGAATGTATCCTAACTAGTCTTACAAATCAACCATCATCTTAATTTTTCTTAAAGTGAAATCACTGATAGCAACAAAGGTCGGAAGATGTTGGAGAAGATGGGTTGGAAAAAAGGAGAGGGCCTGGGCAAGGATGGTGGAGGGATGAAAACTCCGGTAAGATTTATGCTCTCTCTCAGTCTTTTATTCTTACAACAGCCATTTACTGAGTATTATAATGTGCTTTAAATGCTAGGAGTAGAGTAGAGGGAAAACAAGACATGATCACTACCTTTGTGGAGTTCACGATTACCAAATGTATGCATATGCTTTGATTTCTGTTTTATGTTTTCTTTCTTTGTTTTAATTTACCAGAGGGTCTGTGTGCTCATGGTGGGGTTGGGGGGGGGTGATGGGGGCAGTGAGAAAGCAACCTCCATGGGGATGGTTCATATTGCAATGCCTTCTCCATTTTTTTCTCCCTTCAGGATCTTTGGGCCCATATGCACACATGCCTGGCATGTTTTTTCAAGCTGTCTGGTCCAGGACTCTAGCTGTGCAATCCACCATGTGGATTCAAGCCACCTTCACCTCCATGCCACCAGCTGGCCCTGTTTTATACTTTTAGGAACCCTCTTTTAGAATTTTTTTCTGTATCAGGGCTATAGGACAGTAAGAACTGCTTCCCGAACCAGAAATTCTTCTTTTAGTTGTCTTTAATGACTTCTTTACTATGCCTGGTACTAGATGTTGCAGGAACCGTGTTAGTTTACAAACAGGCAGATTCTGTGTTAACTGGAGAACCTTTTAGATTCAGGAATCAGGAAGAACATGCAATATAAAGAATATTTCTGAAAATTTCCAGTGATTTCATAGGTGTTTAAAAGTTTTTTCACAAGAACCTTGAAAAGTAACCTGATTACAGAAGCTTTTTGATACATAACTTGGTACCTAAAGACATAACAGAACAGATTGGGCCAGCCTCATGGTGTAGTGATTAAAAGAGCCAGATCCTACATGGCTAGCTGCATAATTGGAGCCCTGGCTGCAGTGGCTTGAAAAATACACTGGGCATGTGTACATGTTTGCCCAGAATCCATATAAGATGGAAAAATAGAGGAGAACAGGTATTGCAGTATCACCATGCCCCATTGGGGATGCTTCCTCTCTCCCTCTCTGTAATGAGTATGCACACCTTCTGGCAATTAAAAAAAAAAGAGGAAAGAAAATAGATGGATCAGTATGAGTATAACATCAGTTTCCTCATTTTACTGAGGTATAATGGAAAGAACGGGTTTTGTCATCAGACCTAGGTTACAGTATATGCTGTCATTTGCTAGTTCTGTGGCTTTGGGCATGTTTGGACTTCAGTTCTTTCTTTTTTTTTTTTTGGAGAGATTTTCACTGTAGGGCGCGTGCGCTCGCCAGACAGACAGAGAGAGACATAGAGACAGAAAGCGAGAAATCACCCCCCAGGGGGGATGGTCACGCCGCAATCCCTTCTCCTCCATTCTCTTCTCAGGATCTTGGGCACGCACGCACACGCGCTTGGCGTGAGTTTTAAGCCACCGGGTCCGGGACACGAACCGCGGTCGACTACGTGGGAGTCCAGCGACATAGCCATTATGCTAACTGCTGGTTCCCTGGACTTCAGTTCTTATGTAAAAATGGGGATGATAGGAACTGTTTTTCAAGGATGTACTGAAGAGCCCCTAAACAAGTACCTTACAAGGCACTCAGTAACTGGTAGTTTTTAACATTATGAAAATAATGAGAAGTCCTCCCCTCCTGTTATAAGAATAAGCAGGCAAGTTCTGTTTATGACTTGAACGTTTAACCCACTTGTTCACTTTCTTAGGTGAGGATAGGACAGTAGGTTTAAATATGTCTCCATTGCCTTTACTTCTGGTTAGAGTGGAATGACATATTCTGCCACATTTAAATAAAATTTGCTGATTGCTGTTTAAAGGACATTCATTCTGTTTTCTGTAGAGTTGGCTATACTTACTGACAGGCAGTAAGTGCAACATAGAAAAATGAGTTTAACTTCTATTTATGATGGTGTAAGTATTCGTATATGTGTTTAATGCATTTGGCACATTTTTCTTTTGCATCAGTCTTTAGCAAATCAAAAAGTATAGAGTGCCAAGTTGGATGTGGCAGATTTCAATGTATTTAAATTCTAAAATAAGTCCTCTGCTCAACTTTTGTTAACAGATCCAGCTTCAACTTCGGCGAACACATGCTGGCTTGGGAACAGGCAAACCATCATCAATTGAAGATGTTCACCTTCTCCAAAACAAGAGCAAAAAAAACTGGGATAAAGCACGAGAGAGGTTTGCTGAGAACTTTCCAGAAACAAAACCTCAAAAAGATGCACCAGGGAGCATGCCTTGGGTGAAAGGGACTGTAGAGTGAAGGTCAGTCATAGAACAAAATTCAAATTTTTGAAAAAAGTGTTTTAAGACTCTTATTTTATTTAATAATTTTTCTCCCCAAAAGTCAGTGGCATGAGGAAACTGTATCACACTTTACCGCCTCATGATTCAGATATGTATAATAAAGTATGTTTAAAGCTGTTCTTTAAAACTACTAGATAGTGACTGAATCAAGTTACGCAGTAAGCAGACTAAAGTTCACAGGGCACACATGAGCTTTTCAAGTTTTGTTGTTTTTATCTTGTCTTTTACAAAACCCATATGAGCAACTGGCCATAAAAGCGAAAGTCATGTAACCACTAATGACTCGAATGCACATTTGTCCTTATACCTTTATCCTTCTCTTCATTTATTCGTTACTGTGAGATGCAAGCAAAAGAAAGAAACATCAAAAGTTTATAAAACCAATTCTGACTTAATTCATCTTTGTTTATGCCTTTTAGAACCTAGGTAAAAAATGTTGAGAACACATGGATAGTGGTGCGTAAATTTTATTACCTTTAAAATAGCCTAAGTAATGTTAATGAAATAATGAACAACTGACATGCTATAGAAAATTAGTCTTTTATTTTCTTCTGTGAAGAATCTCCATTCGTATTATATATTCAACATTTACGTTTGGTTTGTTTCATAGTTAATGAGATATTTAGATAAGAATGACTTGAGTACAGTATTGAAATACTCAGTGTGCTGGCATTTGTAGTTTTGATAAATACCATTGCAGGCAATGGAGTTGTGCCAGAGAAATAAGATTTCTAGTGCAAAAAGATTACCTAGCCAAGGCCTCAACCTTAAGGTATTCATTGTTGAAAATGTGTTCAAATGCAATAAAAACATTGTAATACTAAAAAGAATAACTTGTTGAATCAGTGATTTGAATGTGTTGGTCTGCTTTGAATTTGCAACCAGCCAGAATTTCCCTCTTAAGATTAGGGAGTAATAAAAGGACAGCCTCAAATATTGAAGAACTGTAGTACAGCTCTCTGAGCGCAGGTGTCACTGCTCTGCCAGTTGTGGATATTCTTCTGTCTGGTGACTTGTCTCTCAGCTTTTTGCTGGGAAATTAACACAGGAGCTGACCCTTTTCTGGCAGTGACTATAAGCTGTCCTCCAAGGAGAGGAAAATTCTGAAAATAAACATTACTCAGTAGGGAAAATAATTCAAAATGACTACATACTGGAATTTCTACTTTAAGTAATATAGGGTATATAGGGAAAAAAGGAAAGGGGAGAATGAAATAAATTATGACTAAAGATGAGAGATATGACCAATCAAATCGTCATAGCCCTACGTCCTACCCTAAGCTGGGTTAATCAAGCCCAATAACTTCAAATTTAGATGAAATATTTTTGGTATCCTTCCTGACTGCCTACACGGTGTAACACATATCTATCTATATGTACATTAGACTTGGGGGCAACAGGAATGCCCTGCATTATTTTTTTCTAAAATAGAAAAAAATAAATATATTGTTCTAAATGTAGTTCTGGTGTCTGTATACAGTAACAATATCGGAGTAGGGCCTCCAAAATCAAATTTGTTTCTGGTGCATCTCACTGGGTTAGTTTAAGATTGCAACATTTCCCATTTTATTATTACATTGGGGAAAATTTTTATAGTTTTCTTTTGCTAAGAAAATGGAAAACTCGAAAATGGTGAGAAAAATTAAAACATATGGTGTTAAGGTTATTAAACCCCTTTGCAGATCTAACGTCTCAGGGCTATACTATATAGTGGTTAAAGTGTTGAATGATGTCTGAGTCTATTTCCATCTGTAAAATAGGATTATATTTATCTCATATGTCTGTTTTGAATAGCAAGTGAGAAAATGTATATAAAAGCACTTTGTAAACTGTAATATACACGTGAGCTTCTCTTTGTTTAGAAGCATAAATGTGAATTATGTACAATTTGAATTATGCATAAAATTGTTTTATGTCTTAATATTTTTAAAAATCAGTTTATTCACATAGTATTAATTTACAAAGTTAATTTTTAAGCGTTTATTGTGATACTACAAATAGTTGAATATTAAGAAGTCATAACATCACATATTTTCTAGGACATAAAAAGCTGGCAAAGTTGAGAACAGAAAAAAACATCAATAGAGTAAAAATAACAGAAACTGTTTTCTTGTAATAAATAGCTAGAGGAAACATTTTTCCTTAAAAAAAAAAAAAGGCAAACTTTTTTTCAGCTTTTGAAACAATTTTTACTTCTGATGTTTCTTTTTATTCTAGTTATGAACTTATGCAAGGTAATGGTTCACTCAAATCATAAACTTTCTACTTTTTATGTAAAAGATTATTAATTTGGCATACTTTGAAGGAGTAGACAAAAGAAGATAGAAGTCAACAAGGGAAAGCGATGAGTCTCAGAGGTAAAGTACGAAAGCCATCTGACAGAATTGCAGGGCAGAGGGGTGTGCTTGACTGGGACACAGAATGCACTGTGAGGCCAGCATCTGAAGGTTCTCTCAGAGCAGTTGAAAGTTTCTCCATCTTGTTTTCCCGCAGCATCTTATAAAAATGCTGCTGCTTTTCTGTAGGGTGTCACATATCTCTCTGTCCTGGATATTTGATTCAAAACATTACATTTTATTTTTTTCTAGTTTAAAGTGGAAATACATTTAGGTTTCTTAAAATGAGTGTGTGTTTGTATGTTACGTGTGTTTACGTGTTTCAGGGCCCAAACTTTCTCTGCTCCCTCTCTGCTTTACTAGTCCTAGTGTTGGCTGATGGCTTTGTAGTTCCAAAATGACTTTTGGAACTCTAGCCACCATATTCCTATCTAAATCAGGAAGAAAGGGGAGAGCAGGGCATAGTGTTATTTCTCTTGTATCAGAAAAACAAAAGCTTACCCAACAGCCCTCACAGCTGGCTTCTCCTTGGGATCATTATCCAGAACCATAAGGATCATCTACTCATAGAAGAGAAGCTTGAAAGTGGGCCACAGGAAGGTCACAGTTGCTAAAACCAATCATAAGCCGTCACCTGGGGCTGAGCATGTTGCCATTGGAAGAGAAGCAGAAGCAGAATCTGGAGACCAAAGCAGATGGAGGTAGTGGATATTAAATGGGCAGATCACTGTCTGCCAGATAACTATCCCTCTTGGGGGAGCCAGAGGTTGATTAAATTGTGACCTAAATTGTGACCCATCCCCAGTGTGCAATGCTTTGTAGCCATTCAAATGACTGTTAGGATTTCTACCTACTGAATAGAAGAATATTCTCACTACATTGCTGATTTTTTTTTTTGGAGAGGTTTTTGCTATAGGGCACATGGGCTTTCCAAAAAGACAGACAGAGAGACAGAAAGCGAGTAATCACCCCTGAAGGGGATGGCCACACCACAATCCCTTCTCCTCCATTCTCCTTTCAGAATCTTGGGCATGCACGCACACACGCCCAGCATGAGTTTAAGCCACTGGGTCTGGAACTCAAACCATGATCGACTACATGGGAGTCCAGTGACATAGCCCTTATGCCAACTGCTGGTCCCATATTGCTGATTTTTAAAAGTAGAAAAGTATATGTAGCATAATCTTATTTTTATTTTAAATATGTAAGTATATATAACAAAATGTTGTTATTGTCCAAGGAGTGAGCAAGCTTTCACTTTTTTTTTTTTTTTCACTTGTTTTAGGTTTTTGTCATAGGGTATGTGTGCTTGCTGGAAAGAGATAGCAAGAGGGAAGGTCTAACATCACATATTATGTGAGAAATTACCCCTGAGGGGGATGGCCATACCATAATTCTTTCTCCATTCTTCTCTTGGGATTTTTGGCATGCATGCACATGTACCTGGTGTGATTTCCAAGCTGCCCAATCTGGTACTCACACTGCAGTTGGCCATGTGGGAGTCCAGTGCCTTAACTGTCACCCCATCTGCTAGCCTGCAAGCTTTTGCTTTTTATTTTATTATTTCTGTATTTGAATTTTTATAAGTAAACAGGTATACTTGTGTGCTTAGCTGTGTATGAACTCACACATTTATAATGAGAAGGAATTCTGGGCTTAGCCAGAACACTATTCTGAGTTCATGACCTACAGAGCTTTTATAAGTTACCTTAAATGCAACTTATTCAAGACTGAACTGTTACTCTTCTCCAAACCTAGTCTTCCAGTTTACTCTCTCAGGCTGGTAACAACATCTATCCAGGTGTATGAGCCAGATGCCTAAGAGACAGCTTCTGTTTAACTACTGTCAGTCTCTGCCCTTCTCCCATCCTTTTTTTTTGGAGAGGTTTTTGCTATAGGGCACGTGCATGCGCCAGAAAGACAGAAAGAGACAGATATAAAATGAGAAATCACCCCCAAGAGGGGATGGCCACCCCGCAATCCCTTCTCCATTCTCTTCTCTGGATCTTGGGCACACATGCACATGTGCCCGGCGTGATTTTAAGCCACCGGGTCCGGGACTCGAACTACAGTTGACTACATGGGAGTTCAGCAACATAGCCATTATGCTAACTGCTGGTCTCCTCATCCTCCTGTATTAACTCACTGTCACCACTCACCCAGACTGTTCTCATAACTGACCAGCTGGTTTCCCTGCAATTGCTCCTTCCTCCCTCAGATCCAAGCTACTCACTACAGCCACACAGTCTTCACAACTCTCTCTTCTCCTGCTTGATTTCCCACTACTTTGAGGATGGAAAAAAACTCCTGGCGCCTAAGTTCCTACGAGGTCTGACCACTACCAGCTTTCCCAATTGCCCTTGTATCATTTTTCCACTTGATTTCTGGTCACCAGCACACTGGCCTTTTTTTTTTTCCTGTTTGTCCAACGTGGACAGCATGCCTTCTGTCAGCATAGCACCTCCTTCATTCTTTTGTACCTGGAAGGCTCTTTCTCTACTGTTTTACTTAGTTAATTCTGACAGTCTTTAGATCTTTGCTAATTGATTCTTTAGGGATGCCTCCCTTGCCTCCTTGGATTAGATTAATTGCCTTTGATATGTGTTCTTGAAAAACCTTATTTCTTTCATTTAGACCACTTAGCGCGGTGTTATATGTTTTTTTTTTTTTTTTGAGAGGTTTTCGCTATAGGGCGTGTGCGCTCACCAGACAGACAGAGAGAGACATAGAGACAGAAAGCGAGAAATCACCCCCCAGGGGGGATGGTCACGCCGCAATCCCTTCTCCTCCATTCTCTTCTCGGGATCTTGGGCACGCACGCACACGCACCTGGCGTGAGTTTTAAGCCACCGGGTCCGGGACGCAAACCACGGTCTACTACGTGGGAGTCCAGCGACATAGCCATTACGCTAACTGCTGGTTCCTGAGGTGTTATATGTTAATTAGCATGGTTGGTATAATATGTTTGCATGTCTCAGTTCTTAAGTGCATGTGAGCAGGACCTTTGGTTTTTGGTTACTACTGCATGCCTAGTGCCTAGCATGGTACCTGGCATATGTCCTGTGGACATAGAAGCTAAAGAGCAAGATGGGTTTGGGAACTACAGGTGGCTTTGTGTGATCGAAGAAATTGGAAACTGAGGCTACATATAGGATCTAAATGATGGCTTTCAAACTGTTTTGACCATGATCCTTTATAAATACAGCGTATAATCCCAGTTTAGTACAGGACCACTTGTGTATGCGTCATGTGACATAGGTTTTATATACCAGTGCTTTCCTGTTAGTGTAATGTGTGATTGTTTTACAAATCACTGATTCTGACCACTGAGTTGATTTTGTAACCTGCTAATGGGTTGTTATGAACTAGACAACTCAGGCTTAAGAGGTTTTATTTTGCTCACAGTCTGGTTTTGCTTTTTAGGTTTTTGCAGTAGGGTACATGCACTCACCAGAGAGAGACAGAGATAGTGAGAAGGAAAGTGGCACAAAGCCTGCATGACAGAAGTGGCAGGGCCAGAGTTTCAGTCTTGTTTCTTTTCATCTCACAGGGATGGTTAAGGGCATACACTGAACAGTCTGGGTGAACTGGGTTTAGGTTTCAGCTCCTCCACTTCCAAGCTGAGTACCTTTTAGAACTTTATTTAAATCTCTGTGCCTCAATGTCCCAGGGACTAGTTGGGAAGATGACATGTGATAAGGCCTGTGTGGCACTGAGCATAGTGTCTGGCACATAGTAAACCATCCAAGATTAGTGATTATTTAGCACTGTTTTCACCGTGCTACCAACACTGAGGGTGTGGTTGTGAGAACAGCATCGGGAGTGGATGATGGTTATTGAAATCAGGAAGAATGAGGAATGAGGCCAGCAAGTAGATGGGTCACCTTAATTCTCAGAGGTAATGATGGGAGATAGGTGTGGATGAGAAGACAGCTGGATTTCTTAGTGAACATTGGAGAATGAGCAGGAGGTTGGCAGATGATAGAGTAAAAGGTAATTCTCAGCATCCTCAAAGGAGTGGGAATTGGGCCATCTGGAGAAATGGTAGGGAGATCTAACAGGCTAACCTTGGCTCTTTAGACCCTGAGGAAACAAGATAGCTGCAGGGAGAACTCCAAGAACTA